GGTGCTGGATGCGCTTGGTCGGTTTGGTAGCAAGGCGGACCGTGTTCTCTTTTACCCTGAGCACTGGGACACGACTGTAGAGAGCTCGAGGGACCGAGACAGTCAGCTACTTAATTTGGCACGCGATGTCTACAAAGCCAAGCTGTATCCTGTCAAACCGCTTCAGGTCGCCGGGCGAACAGAGAGTATGTCAGGCCTGCTAAAGCCGGACATTACAGGTGCATGGCTAACGCTACTACAGCTGAGTGGCTATGGGATGAAACAGTTACCAAGCTAATGGCGTTTTCTCTCGAGTACTACGACCGTGTCATTTCTCTGGATTCGGACATTACACTTCTCAGCTCTCTCGACGAGCTCTTTCTCCTTCCTCCTACGCCAATAGCCATGCCGCGTGCATACTGGACCGACAGCAAGCCCTGGCCATTGTCGACAAAGCTTATGGTGATCCAACCCAATGCGGGACAGCTGGAGAAATTCAAAATACTCATGGAAGGCGGTGGTGACAGCATGCTGGTCAGGATGCATCGGTACGATATGGAGATTTTGAATGAACGATATGAGCAGAGTGCGTTGGTTTTGCCACACCGCCCGTATGCTCTTCGCACGGCAGAGTTCCGAAAGCATGAGCACGTCGACTACTTGGGGGATGCCGACGAAAAATGGGATGCCGAGAAGGTTTACAAAGAAGCCAAAATCATTCACTTCAGTGACCATCCATTGCCACCGCCATGGTTCGCATGGCCTGGCGGCAGTGTCCCGGAGATGCAACCCGACTGCGGGGGAGACGGCGAAGGAAGCTGCGCTGAAAGACGGATATGGATGAGTTTGTACCAAGACTTTCGGAAGCGTCGCAAGGAGGTGTGCAAACTACTGAGCGTTCCCGCGGCCCCGTGGGCTTTGGTTAAGCAGCAGGCAGGACTCAATGCGACAAGTACCGAGCAGGTTGCGCCTCAAGCCTCCAGCTGAATGATTGCACTTGCAATGATGCAATGGTACTTGAGTATAAGGGCTCCGCGGGGCTCCGGTCGTATCATTGGACTCAGCCCACACAGTAAGCAGGCATATACGGAGGGTAACTTTAAAGGTAAAAAGAAATGCTCCGGACGTCGAGAGCCAATCACTTGGACCATGAGAACATTTCTTACAGCATAGATGAACGGCAATGGTGAGACGAATAGTCAATCGAGTCAGCCAAGCGGTATACACCTACTACTGGCATCTATTAATAGCGTGGTGGATGAGTTTCTTTGAACTTTATGCATGGCAGTGTGAGTGCGTCGTCTTGGAGTGACGGTCCGACTGCTTGGTTTTCCCAAGACCCATGGCTTGTATGAAACGGCAGACTGAACCATGCTCATCAGCCCAACAGACCTTGCGCAATGATGCGGTGACACGCAGTATCCGCGTCATCTCCTTGCCCGTACCGCGCGCCTGGGCGTTTGCTACATACTCGTACCAACGCACAGCTGAATTGCATCTGCTGGCGGGTTTGTCGACTAGGTGCATATAAAGAGCGGCACGTGACATTAGTCTGGCTGCACCCCACTCGGCGCTATGAAAGAAAAGTGCTGCAAGGCATAGTAAGGTATAGCCAGTTCAACGCTCGCGGCAGTCGACGTGCGCGCACAGCCGAAAGACGGGCGGCACGGGCATCTTACTTGACGCTTTCTTTGGCCAGGATGGCAGCAGAATCTCCGAAGTAACATGCCATTGTTCATCCGACTGCGTCATGCGCTCGGCCAGGTTGAAATCCTACGCGAAAGTTGACAACAAACGGCCCGCGTCGTGCACGCTCACCTCAGACGGTTAAAGGGAGGTTTTGTCGATACGGCCAATCATCCAGACAAAGGCTGGTGGACGTGGGGCGTGTTTACACAAGGTAGGCCGCCAGCGAGCTCCGAGTGCCAGCCGTTTGTTCTAGCGCCAGAGGACGATCTGCAGTCGGGTGGCGGGGGGTGATCATGTTCCCCAAGGCCCCCCCCCAGCAAGCAGCAAGCAGCAAGCAAAGCAGTCAGCTCCTCCGCCCAAGGCCAGGACTGCCATGTCTCAGATATCGCAGCATGTGGAGAAGGAGTGTGGCATTGCAGGGACACTACCAGTAGTGTGCTGGCCGACAGGACGAGCAACGATAGTGTTGCAACACCACGACAGCCACCAGGCACGCGGTACGGCGCGAAAGGGGGGCGAGGATGGGTGTGGGTTGCAGTGGAGAGGCTTGGGTGTGGGTTACGCTATGCAGCAAGGCTGAGTGACCGACTGGCTAGCACGCATTCAGGGGGGGCCAGCGCGCTCACGCCTCCCGATGGCGCACCATGCAGGTTGTGATCTGTGTGGACCTTAACAGTGGAAGTGAATGGACTAGCATGGCTTGGCCGAATACCCCAGCTCGCGCGCCGTGAAAGCCTGGTCTTAGTCAATGCGGCAGACATTGAAATAGTGCCCCTTCCTCTCCACCTCTCCACCTCTCCACCGTAGTATATAACAATCACGCGGCTGTGCACATTCGTTTCCTTTTTCTTGCTTATTGCTCGTCGACCAAGTGTCTGGATTCCTGACCTCACTTCGTTGCTGTGTATTTTGGTCCTTGAGCGTATTCCCTTTTCCTTGACAACAACAATGCGCGACCTCACCCTGGCCTCAGTCCTGACGGCCTCAGCCTTGTTCGCCCGACGAACTGGAGCTGTTGCCGTCAACCCTCTTCCCAAGCCTGCCAGCATTACCTGGGGCGACTCGGGATGCTTTGCCGTCGGATCAATCACTCTGGATGGCCCCGACAACAAGGTGCTTTCTGATGCCTTCAGCCGAATGACAAAGACCGTCACCGACCTCAAGTGGATCCCTGCGGGTATCGAGGCCCCAGTCAGGGAGTTTGAACCTTTCCCCAAGAGTGGGTCCAAGAAGAAGAAGAGGAGGAATACTCCTACTACTGTCTCTGCTGGAAACTGCACGGGCACTATCAGCTCAGTCAAGGTCGACATTGCCGACACCAAGGCTCAGCTCCAACATGGCGTCGACGAGTCGTACAAGCTTGAGCTTGCTGCTGGATCAAGCAGCGTTCACATCACTGCCGGAACTGTCTACGGTGCTCTCCACGCCCTAACTACCATGCAGCAAATCGTCATCAACGACGGCTCAGGCAAGTTGATTATCGAGCAGCCCGTCTCCATTGACGACAAGCCCCTCTACCCTGTCCGCGGTATCATGATTGACTCTGGCCGCAACTACATCTCCAAGGCCAAGATCCTCGAGCAGATTGACGGAATGGCGCTTTCCAAGCTCAACGTCCTTCACTGGCACATGGTCGACACGCAGTCATGGCCCATTGAGATCAAGTCGTACCCAGACATGACCAAGGACGCCTACTCAGCCAACGAGGTCTACTCTCAATCCGTTCTCAAGGAAATCGTCGAGTACGCCGGTGCCCGCGGCGTGCGCGTCATCCCGGAAATCGACATGCCGGGCCACGCCAGCTCGGGCTGGGAGGAAATCGACAAGGAAATCCTCACTTGCGAGGACAGCTGGTGGTCCAACGACGACTGGCCGCTCCACACGGCCGTGCAGCCCAACCCGGGTCAGCTCGACATCCTCAACAACAAGACGTACGAAGTCACCGGCAAGGTGTACAAGGAACTCGCCACCATCTTCCCGGACAACTGGTTCCACATTGGCGGCGACGAGCTCTTCATGAACTGCAACAACTTCTCCTCTCTGGCCCGCGACTTCTTCGCCACGGGCAAGACAATGGGCGACCTCTACCAAGTCTGGGTCGACCGCGCCTTGCCCAACTTCCGCTCTCAAGTCAACAAGACCTTCGTCATGTGGGAAGATGTCAAGATCTCTGCCACGGTCGCCGCCACAGGCAACGTCCCCAAGGACATCATCCTCCAAGCCTGGAACAACGGCCTCGACCACATCTCCAACCTCACCTCCCAAGGCTACCGCGTCATCGTCTCCAGCTCCGACTTCATGTACCTCGACTGCGGCTACGGCGGCTACGTCAGCAACGATCCCCGCTACAACGTCATGGTCAACCCCAACGCCGCCGACGGCGTCGCAAACTTCAACTGGGGCGGCAACGGCGGCTCCTGGTGCGCCCCCTACAAAACCTGGCAACGCATCTACGACTACGACTTCACCCAGGGCCTCTCGGCCGACCAAAAGAAACTCGTCCAAGGCGCCATTGCCCCCCTTTTCGGCGAACAAGTCGACTCCGTAGTCATTTCTCAGAAAATCTGGCCCCGTGCTGCCGCCCTTGCTGAACTCGTTTGGTCTGGTAATAGGGACAAAGACGGCAAGAAGAGGACTACCGAGTTGACCCAGCGTATCTTGAACTTTAGAGAGTACCTCGTTGCCAATGGCGTCCAGGCGACGATTCTTATGCCCAAGTATTGTCTCCAGAACCCGCATACCTGTGATTTGTATCTTAATCAGACGGTTATTACCTAGGTTTTATGGGTTGTTAGTGAGTACATGATGGTGGTATGATCATTTTGAATTTTCATGCAGACTTTTGTGGAATTGTAAGGAGGGGGGGAGGAGGGGTGTTGGTATCATGTCAATCATGGGAACTTTTTTATGTATTTATTATATTTTACTTTCTTCATCACTCTTGTCGTCTTCATTGCATTCCATGGTTCATGGTCATCTATCTCTCTATGCCAACGGCATCCATCGCTGCAGAAAAGGAACGTTTCACATGCCAAATCATATATACCTGTCAGCTGAAAAGGACATATTGCAAAATAGACTTTATCTGAATATCCAACCAAGACCGCCACAGGAGTCTGGATATTTTTGCTTTTGATAAACATGCCAGCCCAGGAAAATGATACGATTGATTTGCTTCCTGATTAGTACCGCGCTATTGGATAAATAGTAAAGAAAAAAAGAAAGTGCAGAAAAAAAAAGAGCCATCATGGCATTCTGCGGCTGAACCCACGTGTACCTGCATCCGCAGAATTATGCATCTCGTCTGTTCTAGTTCAACCCCCCCACCATCACTATGGCGACCTCAGATCCTTGGCTGTAAGCACTTCTTTTGCAGCCTCCATCTCAGGAGACGTAATCTCCCTCTCCCCAAGCTTGTTTGAACCACCTGATGACGACGACGACGAAGATGAAAAAGGTTTCTTCAATACATTCTTGATCTTCTCGCTTACGGGTTTGTGATCTGCAGGGCCATCGTTGATCGAATCATTTGTCGTGGGCGAGTCGGTAGAAGAATGCGAGGTGACTGGCTCTGCAGATATGCATAAGTAAACTGTCCAAGGCTGTATTGGGGAGCGACAAAGTCGACTAAAGCGTACTGGATTTGGAGGTCATTGACAAGGGTTACGAACCTCGAAATTGAGCACTGACTTCGGATTGCGATGAAAAGGTGCTAGTGGCTTCAGGAAGGGCTCCGACTGGTGGCTCTGCAATGTGTTAGCATGCTATCGCCTCATTACCAATCACTGGTGGTTTCTTCTTCTGGAGAGGCCCTTGAATACAACAGCAAGGGTGGCATGAAACAGGATACCGTACCTCTGAACTGTGCGCTCTGATCTGAAGTAGCCATGATTGTTTTGATTGGTTAAAGACAGTCGACCAAGAATAACAGTCTAGACATGTAAATCTGACGTAGCAAACTTGCATCCGTGGCGGGGGACAAAGGTGCAGTAATATACAAACAAGGTGGCGCTACGTCACCGGCTGACTGAGCGTCTGGGCGTCTCGTGGCTGATGCGTGTTGGTATGATGAGATGCTTGGGAGCCAACTTGACTTGAGTGGTTGGCAAACGCATCTCGCCCCGCTTCTCCCGCATGGCAGTGGCTAAGATCCAGATTTTTGAACCCTGAACAACGGCACCGTCTTGGGCCAAGCGCTTGTCAAAGTCGTTCTAGCTCGATCTGGACAGAGACCCTGAGATCTAGCCTTCTTGACCAACTGGGCATGTCGATCGGAACAAGACCAAGGTTTCAGACGAGTCTAGATGATCCGGATGGTATGCTTCCCATTTTCATAGCGTAGACACGGTAGGCGAGCCTTTGTGTCTTCGCTCAAGTCTGCCGCTATTGTCTTGTTCCCACCAAGCGTCTCAGGGTAGAAATATCCAATTCTCTCAAACAAAGCCTTTTCCTTGTCCCCAAGCCGAAGCAAAAGACCACTGAGCCATCCTGGGCCGCCCAATTTAATACAAGGCATAATGAATAGACGCCTCTGTGCGTTATCTTCAACCAAATCAGTGTCTTGCATAATGTCGAGCCAGACACATATGGTTGAAGAATCATCAGCATCATCTTCAGTGGTTTTATGTTGTTGAGAGATAGCTTTGCTATCACAGGATATATACCACGAGGTTTGAGACCCTTCGAGTTTACGCAACCTCGCTGGTTTGAGGGTCCCGCGTAGGTCTAGCCAACCTCTGGTGATTGCCCCCGTAGTATCCTCGGTTGCATAAAATAGTGCGACATCCTCCACGTGTATGAGTAGTTCTCGACCCTCCTCAAGCAGACTTGATTGTATGTGTCCATCTACTGACGCCCAAGACCAAGTTGGTGATCGATAAACTAATGGACGAGGCAATAAGTCGCGAGGTACAACGCTCCACAACAGCGAGTCTTCCAACTGACTACGCCACATACCCGCTACGTATGTATCTTCAAGACGAGCCATAAAGAGCTTGGCTACACCAGAAAGGGCTATCAACTTATCCGTTGAAACAGACAAGTCCATAATAGAATACATGGAAATAACGTGACTATACCAAAAGGTTCTTAAGTGCTCTCTATTTCTATCAGATAACGCAGAAAGATCTTCTTGTTTCCAAAGCATGGACTTTATGGGCTTGTGCCCATGATGCTTTCTAAGACCGGGGAGTCCTTTGGGAAATGTCTCGCATGCGGTGTGCTCGTTGCATTCGAAGAAAAGCTGATCACGACAGAAATGCAGGTTGCGCGGGGCCAGGAAGCGTTCTTGAAAAACCCAGCCACGGTTGTGAAGAGGAGAGTTGTCCAGGTTGCGACCGCACAGCATCCAGTCCGTCATTAGATAGTTAGCGTAATGTGGTCCTGGTTTCATATCTTTTGTATTGACTGCAACACGCTGACGACCTAGAGGTAATGGGGGATGCTGTCGAAAAAGTCCTTTTGTGCCGTTATCTGCATCTGCTGCAGCAATGTTGAGATGGGAATGCATGTATACCTTGTCCATCAGACTTGCTTCATGATACCAATCACGAAGATTGTCTCCCTCTTGGATGATGCATAAGGAATCTATCCATAGGTATTGAATCCCAAGTCTTTTGGACGCCTGGATGGCCTCCTGGAACGTTTTGGGCATCTCAGCCACCAAAAAGCGGTGGTTTGGATCGGACGCCGCTGACTTTGTAAGTTGGAGAGGTCTTGTACTGCCCCAGCGGTGACTCAAAGTAGCATAATGTTCATCGGGTGACATCTCGGCTGTGTGTATGAGCCGTACGTAGCCCTCCTTTCCATCAGAATCAACTAGATGCAAAAGACGCGTTGGATACCATGGCGTGCCATCTTTATAGGAATTACATCGCGAGTGTGATTGAACGCAGTCTCTCAGCCACATGGAAGCCAGCTCAAAAGATGCATTAGAAGAAGTATGGTCAGTAGTGGTGTCGCCCTCTGGGTAAACATCACACTCCAATTCGCCTGCTGCTTGATCAGTGTATGCACTAAATATGTAGAGGAGAAACAGACCATCATCCTTTTCTAGCATGAATGTACCTGCCTTGTGTGAAGATTCGGGGAACAGATCCCTGTGGAAATTGATAATAAAGTAGATCGATTCTGCTCCCGTCATATATGTCAACTGAGCAGAAGTGATGAATTCTGGGTGCAGAGCATCACCGTTAGTAGTTTCAATATTACTAGATTCAAGATCACGCAATGATTTTCGTTCAAAATCCGAATATCTGTCGAAAATTGGTCGGCAAACAGGACACCCATCCTCTGCTGATATAACCAATGATTTGCGCGTTGAATGGTGAAGATACTGGCCACGATACTGTCAAAAACCCACGTTGACCATTTATGATTTGTTAACCTACCTCGACAAATGGTACAATTTCGCCGCAAGCTTCCAGCTCGCTTGGGCTTGTTACGGACCTAATGACATGGCGACGGTGCTGAAGAATGCTGATACAGGTTTCGCAGAACATTTCTGAAGGATTATTCTGGAGAGAAGCTGGCGTGGATGTCGGAAGAACAGGTGTGGTTTTATAGCCTTGTCACCCCGCGCTTTGTGCTGGCGAATTGGCAGCAGCCTTGAGCCGCTCCTTCCTCCCCTCCTTCCAAGCCTTGTCGAGCGCCTCAATTTTCCCACCCAGAACCTGGACATTGCCTGGCTCAAGCATAATCACTCCTCTTCTTACATCAAAGTCCTTCAAAACCACTTTCGCACCCATGGCCATGTTTGTGTGGAGGCCATCGATGCCTCTTAGATCCATGGCGTAGATCTTGAGGGCTTTGGCATCCTGAAGGAGAAGCTTGAAGGGACCTTTACTTTGCGCAGGCGCTGCAGCCTCGGTAGCAGCCTCGTTGTCTTGTTCGACTACGCGTACAATTTCTCTTCCTTTGGTCGTCTCGCCCCGCTCTTTTGCTTCAATGGCTTCGACTTGGGACCAGCGTGAGTGTCCGATATCCTCAATGTCGAGCACTTGGCAGACGATAGGGCCAGGAATGATGCGAGACTGCGTATTTCCATTGAGCACGTCGCTAGGGAATACCGAGCTGGGCAGCTGACTTAGGGATTTTGTGATATCGGTTGCTAGTAGACGGAATAGTAATGTCTGCTTTAATGCGGGCAGTGGTGTATTCGGCCGGGTGGTAGAAAGAAAACTCTCGAACCAGGCCGCCGTAGGATGGAGATGGCGGACATTGAGATGCTGGGTTAGTTCAGCTGCAATATTAGCGGCCATGATTGGAATCTTGTACGTTTGTGAGTTTTATGCAAAAGTCATGTGTGGAACAGTTGTAGTACTACTATGTAGCCGACGCGACGCGTAGAATGACGTGGGGCTCTCCTCGGCCCTTGACATGAAGCTCCAACGTACACTCTCTAAACTCTCCTAAATCCCCAAATCCTGCAGCACATATTAACAATATGTCGACAATAGCCTCTCCCCGCCCCAGCTCGTCCGTCCGCACCCCCTCATTAACCCGCACATCCATCGACAGCAGCTCGTCGCACCGGCCACCCCCGCAGCCCGCCCGCCGCAACCGCGCCGCCCTGCGCGAATTCTATGGCCTCAAACCCGCACCCAAAGACGTAGGCGCCGATGTCAGGATATCCGAGGAAACAACGACGAACCCATTGGGACCCGAGGAAGACGAGACACTGACGGAGCTGGACGCCTCGGACTTCAACGCCGAAGCCTACGTGGAGAATCTGCTTGCAAGAGAGGGGCTCAAGGGCGTTTTGAAAGTAGAGGCAGACTTGATATCACGTACGTTGGTTCAGCGCAAGCATAGGGCGAAAGAAAGAATGGACAACTAATTACGAGAATAGAAATCCGAAATCTTGACAGCGACCGCAAATCTCTAGTCTACGACAACTACTCCAAACTACTTTCTGCCACCAGCACCATCCGTCGCATGCGCGGCAACATGGATCCTCTTGCACCTACCACGCACACGCTTGGGCCTGCCATATCGCATATTGCCGAGACAGCTGCGGCACTGTCGTCGTCGCTGCACGAGAGTCACCAGCCGAAACAAGAAGGACTGGGAATCAGTATGCGGGGAGAACAAGACACGGCGGAGGCAGACAAGAAGCGAAGGCAGAAGGAGACTGTAAAGTGGGTGCTCGACACGCCAAGACGGCTGCAGATACTGGTTGACCAGGAGCGCGAGGAGGAAGCGGAAAAGGAGTGGGAGGAGGTTAGTGCGATACTGGATAAGTGGAAGGGGGTGGCTGGTGTGCAAGAGCTCAGGGTGCAGTGCGAGGCTATTATGCAAGAAGAAGAATGAGATGGGTCCTGAGTCCGGAACAAGCGCGCGAAAGTTCCGTGATCCCTACCCATCATCAAAGGCACAGTACAGTGCGCAGCCCAAGAAAAAATGAAGTCGGCAGGGAGCCCTCCAAACCCCCAGCATTTCCAACCCCTCCCGATGATGTAGCCCAGCATCACCTAGGGAAACGGCCCAAACTGTGGTTGTCCAGGACAGCGCAGTATGTACATCACTTTATGCACCAAACTGCATATATCACTCCAAGCCGACTCAACACAAGTGTGGAAATGACGTCTCGCTTCCCAGCAAACTAGTCTACTTGGCCCTCCCTCCCTCCCTCCACTAAGTGTAAAAGTCAATAAAGTCTTCATTCGTTAGTTCCTTTGGGGAGAAAGGAGAGAGAGAGAGGGGGAACCCGAAGTACGGTAGTATATCCCGAGCCGGAGGGCGTTCGCTCCCAGCCAAACTAAAATAAACTTCTTTCCTTAGCAGACAAACGAGAAGAGAGAAAAAAAAGCAAAAGAAAGTAGCGGTAGATCAAAGCAAAACGAAGAAAAGGAAGTTAAACTTTGACCAAGTGTGCTTTCGTGAGAAGAAGCTCCCAAAAGGATATATGATTGAATTCAGATAAAAATTGTATACAAAAGTGTTGTAAAAAAACATCTAAGAGGTTATATCGGCGCATTTCTAGTTTGACTGAGCGCTCGTGGTATCAAATGCCAATTGTAAAAAAAAAACACACACACATAAAACGCCCGTCTATCATGCAAAAAAATAGTAGTAAAGGAAAAAACGTCGGAAGGGGCGGATTTTAACCCCTCTTTTCCGCCCGCTTTTTTCCTTCTCCCCCGGGTTCCGGAGAAAAAAAGTCTCTGCCCATGGGGGATTTTGAAAAAACAAAAGAAAAGAAAGGAAAAATAAAGTTTGTAGGGGCCTAGCCGATTCCGACACGGATTAGCCAAAGTTAACGAATGTAAGTAGAAGCCCAGAGGCTCGACCGGTGAAAAAAAAACAATGAGAGATGGTAGTTCCGAAAACGGCAACAGAAAGCGTGCGTGTTTTTTTCTTTCGTCGGGAATGGCCCACTCGTAAAACAAAAGCACAACGTCTAAGCAACGCATTTCTGCATGACTTGGCCATGTTCTGCATGAGCATGCACCGAGCGGACGCTGAGTGGTGCAACGTGGCTGCTGGTCGCACGCTCCAATTCCTCTACAGCAGCAGCCTGCTGGTTGAGCAGGTTGAGATACGTCTGCCAGCCGATTGCCACGACACCGCCGAAGATGCTGCGGTATTGAATGGGCACGTAGGTGAAGCTAAAGGCCGTGACTGCGGGCCAGATTTTGCAGCTGTTCCACCAGCTAGTGGGCACTGTGTTGCGGATGCGCTCGATGATTTCGGGAAAGGTGCCGCCGGAGAGGAGGGTTTGCATGCCGAAGAAGTACGAGTTGAATAGTGGGGTGAAGAAGGCTTGGTTGATGAAGACCTGGGTGCTTTGTTAGTAATTGTTGCAAGCGCATACGCTCTGATTGTGGATGACAACGTACCTTGATGGTAAGAGAGAGCGTCTTGGACCGGTAGTTGAAGCTGTTGGACAACCACAGAAACCACCTGTATGATGGGATGGCGCTCAGTCCTCCAATGCAAAGGGCTCGCATGGTGCGGGTCCAGTCACGGTCGTCGCTCCATTGCTGCACCCAGCCCTTCTCGTCGGCCTCGTCGACCGGCTCCTGCTGGGTGGAAGGCTCAGGTTGGGTGATGCTCTGGGCCACGCAGTCGCCGATGAAATAGATGATGAGTGAAGACACCAATTGGGTCATGTATGGCCTCCGTTGTTGCACGCGACCATATGCCCGAAAGGGTTCGACGATGGGATCGAGCCACAGCCAGCTGGGCCCGGGGATGGTTCGCGCGGTCGCAGCAGCACCCTGGGCTCCGTCTGAGCCGGTGCTGTTGTAGCGGCGAGAGGTATGGGACAGGTGAATTCGTAGACGGGCGCGTTCGAAGTTGGATGTGTTTGTCGTGTTGCGAGAAGGGGCATTAGGGATGCGCCTCAGTCCGACGCGGACCCAGGCGCAAGAAGGGGCTACCATGATAGCAGTGTTGATGGAAGGTGCGTAGTTTCGAGCAGACAAAGTAAAAGGAGCGAGTTATGAGCGAGTGGAAGACATGATGTGCTGTGGCTGCTGGGGGTATTATGAGCTGTCAGGTACGTATGGATGCATGTGTGGGTGTAAGTCTGGATGGACGCTTCCCCGAGTGTCGGCGCAACAAATGTTGGGGACGCACGCCGGGGGCGCGCGGATAACCTCGGCTTAGTCACGCGCACGCCATCGCATCCACTCATGCCCCAGTCAGGTCTAGACTGCTCTCCATGCCCTCCTAACACCGACAACGGCCCTCAGCCTGAGGCATGCTTATGCTACGCTTCCTGTTGCACCCACAGCCTACAAACACAGCCTTGCAACACGGCCTCACTCTCTCTCGCTCTCCCGACGGCCCCTCATGCAATTGCCGAGTTGGCCGGCCAGCTTAGATCTGAGACGTAGCTCTTCACGCGTGGCACCTGGGGCTTCTAGACACGTAGCCCCCTGGCCACTGACGAGCCTCTTGGTCCTTACACAGCAGAGGTGGGTACACTAAGATGATGAGGTCCATGTCAAAATAGGGCACAGGCATTGATCCGAAGAGACATTTTCGTCCAATTCGTCGTGGAATTTACGTATGTACATTAGAATCGAAAACCAGCGGTGCGCAAGCTCGGCCCTAGGCGGCCGAGCCCACTTGACACCACCAGCAAATAGTCACAGACTTCTACAAGCCAAACTTCTCCACAAATATCGCCCACCGATACTACCCGGCCCTCTGCACTCGTCAAGCATGGTTGTCCACCATGCCAATTTAGATACATTGGTGGTAGTAGTCGTTTTGCTTGGTGCATGTGGTGCCTGAGACGCAGGCAGTTGCGCCCGTGTAGCCCTGACCGCCGCACTGGTGCCACTTCTGAGCCTCAGCACCACCGGTAGCGGGAGCAGTGGCAGGAGCAGAGGCAGCGGGATCAGCAGGTTCCTCAGCAGGCTCTTCTGTAGAATCGTCAGTGCACTCCTCGGGTTCCTCGGCAGCGGGAGCCTCACTGGAAGGAGCCTCAGTAGAGGGAGATGGAGAGGCAGCGGGAGCACCGGCAACAGGAGCAGAAGATGGAGAGGCAGCAGGAGCGGGAGCAGCATCAGCAGCCGTGGCGGTACCGGCACCGCTCCAGAGCTTGGGACCAGGGTTGGGGTAGCTCTGGAATGAGTTGTAGATGTCGAACAAGACACCAGGGGTAGTAGCGGTGACGTAGCCTGGGATCGAGACACCGGCAGGAAGAGAGCCGCTGGCGGATCCGCCAACCTTGACATGAATCTGCAATCTCAAGTCAGCGTCTGTTACTAAGCACGTCATGCAACTAGCCAACTTACACATCCCATGTAGAACTGGGCACCCGAGGGCCTGTTGCCCTCGTGGAGAGCAATAATCTCGGGACGGATGACGTATTCGCCGGCAGCGACGTTGGGCATCTTGAATGTGTGCTGCCCCTTCTTTCCGTTGTACGCACCATCGCGGAGCTTGGTGACAGCCCACGACTTGCCATCCCATCCATCCTCGGCGATCTTGGTCCATGACATGGAAGAGCCAGCCTTTGACATGTAGACGTTGATTGGTCCCTTGTGAGATCCATCAATGATTTGGTCGCCGGCTCCGGGACCGTTGTGGAACCATTGGACCTGGTCATGTCAGCACGTCTTCAATCCGAAACTGTGGCATACAAATACTTACAGCGACTTCATCACCAGGGTTGATAGAGATGGACTTGGCCGCCTTGATGTTGGCTACGTTGCACTCCATCGCCTTGGAGGTGACATCGGTGACGGGAGAGTTGTTGGGAGGAGTGTCAATGTATCCACCCTGAGAGTTGCCGTAGCCAAGGTCTTTGTTGTTGACGGAAACACCCCAGATGGTGCAGTGGGCGCTGGCAGCACCGGCGAAAGCGAGAGCAGAGATGAAAGACTTCATTTTGAATGAGGATATGGGGCGGCTGGTTGATGAACTGGTCGAATGTAGAACCTGTCTTGTGAAAGAGTGACTATTCGAAGCTGAAGTCGAAAAGAACGAACAAGTCAAAAGACTGAATCGAATATGTAGAATGAATGAAGGTTGAGCGTCAAGCGTGCCCTTTCATCTCTGGGGTGGATAGGTACTTCTTATACTATTCAGTTCTTTTGTTACAGAGGCGTACGGGTCCAGAGATCAGTCATGTCGCTTGGAAATTATTGGTTGCTCCGCTTCTCTGCCTAGAAAAGACGACAGGGACGAGGCGGCTAATCCAAATGCCATTGCGGGTAGGAGCCATCTAGCGCTGATACGAGTCGCAGCCCGCCGTTTGGACTGTCAATGGGCCATGGGGGAATCGTCAACGGTGCAGATGAAGCCAAGACCTCCTCCGTCTGGGCGGAACGCGTCTAGTGCACAATGTTTCGATCGCCCTTGTTCGCCTTATGATGGATTTGCTCGAGGTGCGTACAATTTTGCGTCTTGTGTTCTCGAACCTATGCGCATGAATCATGAATGCAAATCATTGCTGCCACTGATCAAGCAACGGCTCTATCGAGGGCCGCGGTACGTGAACGCCTCATGTACTTGTTTTTTTATGTACGTCAATATCTCTTGTGCGCATTAACAATGTCGTTGACATCCACTACTTTTGACACGGAGGCCCACGCAGAGTCTTGGTGGTGGCGGCGCCCTGGGGAGGGCGATGGGGCAACGGTGGGTATTCCAGACATCATCTCGGGCTTGGGAGGCAGGTGTCATGCTGCATTGGCACCGAACATACTTTCGGGGTGGCTGTTGTGGTATCTCGCCGTGCCGTAGGCGCTGACAGATGGTACATGTCAAAGGAAAGAAAGTAAGTCAAGTGAAGGGCGCAGTGCACACGCAACATTGCCAAGCCTATTCCGTCGTTTGTGCTTATGTGCTTGTGTATTTAGCAGTTAGAGTCAGTCAAATCAGGTACGTGCTACTATGTACCTGTCCAAAGGGGGCTGCATCGTCACGATCTGTCGAAGAAACGCGGTAGGGCCCGCTGGGATAATCTCAATGTGACAATACTACCAAGTTGGATTGCTTCTCCACAGCTCGGTAGCTTGGCATCCACCAATCTAACCCAAAACTTGTGTCTCCGCCAAAACTAAGCCTCGCCATTCGTCAACTCGACAACATCTGTTTCATATAGACGTTTGGCCACTTCGACCGAATTGCTGCCAGGGCTGTGCTCGCAACAGTGGGTCTGCGTGAAACGTGCTGCTTCTTGGCACCTTCTTGGCATTATCTTCTTATGTCTTGGTATTAATCTAAATATATTCATCCACTATACACTGTAGTTTCACGCGCCTTGGAACTTGTTTTGGTGATGCAAATGTGCATTTGTGTAAAAGTGGCTGTTCAGGTCTAAGATTTGGAAGAAGCCCGTACTCGCCTGCAGGTCAATGAAAATTAGTCCTGGTCGTGTTTATCTAGAAGACCATTTACGTACCTAGGTACGCTCTCAAATTACCATAAACCAAAGGACTTTTTGAGGCGTTTTGAGTCGACACCTAGAACAATTCCTGATACGGACCCCCCGAGTAACTAGTCAGAGGGCCTGTATGATCACGTCGCCAATCACTAAAATTCAGTCTCAAGAGCGCGTATCCGGCACTAATATTCCATCTGAGTAAACCTGCCATCACCATTCGGTCACACCTGTAACCACAATCTAGCCGGGTTTCCTGACATCCGTGGCGGGCACTTTCCGTAGTGTGGAGATGAGCCTTAAACTTTGTTTTTGCTGTGTAATACCCCTTCCGCGCCTCCCGGTTCTTCCATTCGAAGACCCCAATCCTTCCAAAGTCTTCCAAGATGTTTCATAGTGTTTCAAACCCGCGGAATGCGCTAGTACACGTAGTCCTCTCGCGTACCTTTTTTCAATAATCCGGCCGATGTGACTCAGGTCTTACAACTGCTTTAGGGAGACTCGGCCTAGACGATCTTTCCGTTACTGTCGACTTGCATCACTTAGGGAAAGCTGACGCCGAAGAGCCGTCCACCGTGATTCAGTACATGTATATATAAATGCGGCAGCTGCCTCCAAGTGTTGGCCAGATTTCGACAAAGCCTGGTTTAAAAAAACTACATGAGTGGTGTTTTCTCCTCATATTTTGCCATTCTGCTGGACCACAAGAAAATCGACCAGTTTCCTGTACACGCACTGAAAGCTCAGGAGAGAGTTCATGTTTAGTTTCCACTCTAGCAACGTGCGACACAGGAACATCCGTGGTTTATTTCATGTCCTAGTTGAATCAATATCAGCCAATTTTCTGGCTAAGAAAGTATATCAATAGCGAAGGACTTTCACGAAGTGCCATCTCGCCTTCTACCTACGAACAGTGGACCCTATGAGTACACTAGCAAGCTCGTTTTGCAAATTACCGAAAGAGGTTGTCTAAGTTGATGGTCATTTGATATGACCAGATTAATGAGTTCTTTTTATCAAAGTCTCCTGTGTTCAGTCTTTGTTTCGACGTGTTAAACACAAGTTCAATACGTAAAGACACAGGTGGAATACCTAGATAGAAAAAAGCTCATGAATAGAGGGCTTGACTTAAATCGGCAGAAGAGGATCACGTTCAAACGACCGAACTTTACAATAGGGGCAGTCTTCAAATTCCGGTTTGTTGCAGAAAAGTCTCGTGCGGAAAAGCAGGCTTTTCTATCATTCGTTCATTTATCACGAGCCTCTGGCCTACTATACGATATCTGCAAAAGCCTGTCATAGCCAAGAGACAGGGATGGAATCTGCAGCCAAGGCTAGAGATGTGTTTAATGATGACAGAAATCTAATGCGGACTTCGAATATACTAGATGCGATAAAAGATACTTATGCCAACCTCAACATATCCCCCATACTCAACAACAAGACCCAAAACAACTACCCTAGGATATACAGGGAGCAGCACAACCCAACGTCAAAATTAAACACTCACTAGAAAAACTTGACTAGCGCCCATTATCGCAA